CTACAGACATAACCACCGGAAAATAATAATCCAAGACGAGTTTCCAACAACGACAAGTGAGAAGTTCGCTATATCTTATTGTGAGAACTATAAAGACGTTTGCTTATTTCTTGTAACAAAAATAAACATGTTTGTTTTATATTTTTCCCTTGTTTTGTCAAGGACATTTGCTTGTTTCTTTGTACCAAAAATAAAAAAACTGTGTGCTTATATATTCTTGTAAAACATATATAAATGAAGACGTTTGCTTATATTATAATAGCACCTATAACAAATGCAGGTATATATACATATAGCTGTACATATATATATATATTAACTGGAAATAGAAAATGTGTCATATTTTACTTCCACATATTAAAAACAAAAAGTATGTATATCAAAAGATATTTTTATGAAACTAAATTTTAACGCAAGAAAGATTTATATAATGTACAAAATATACATGTAAACTATTAGTAAAAATAGTTTACTTATGTTTTTAGCTATTTTCGTTAGAGGGCCTAAAAGACATTGTACTTGATGCAAAATACTTTACACAATGAAAATGTTGGAACATGTAAGGACGTAGACTCTACGTGTGTAAGAACCATCTTTTATTTGCTTTCTGTTCATAACCTAAGAATTAAAATTATTCTCCAAGCCGTCAAAGCGAAATATAATATAACAAAACATGAATACTATACGAGATTAATTTTCATAAATTTTTTATAAATCATTTTTTTTTGGCTAAAACTTTCATTAACTTATATATTGAATTATATAAGCATTTGGGGGGGGGGAGTGATTTCAATTTTACCACAATTGTGATACTACTTTTCAAATGTACTCTTAGAATAATTATTTTCATAATTACTTTACGGTTGTGATGAAAAAGGACTAAACTAAACTTCTTAAATGTTTAAAAACAATTTATAAAATATTTATAAAGTTAATAAACTCAATCTAATCCCTAAATAATAAATCCGAAACAATAATCACGAAATTCTAAAATCTAATGTTAAAAATATGTTGATTGAATTTCTTTCTGAAAAGTGGTAACTAACTTATAGTATTTCAAGCATGCAATTTCTCAGACATTTTTGTGTACCACTCAAAATGATTAATTACTTGTGTTGGTGTGTTTCCTGTAACTCTTTGATCATCTATTAAAATAGTTAATGATTAATATTACTTAACCATACAGATTATTTCTATTATTCCTTGACCTATATACAAATAAAAAAACTTAGAAGACTTATATAAAGGTAATAGCACAACCGGTTTTTTATTTATTTAAATGTTTTATTACGGAAGCTGATGTGTTTTAGTCGATTCAAATTTTAATACTGTGCCAGAGTGAGTTATAAACTAGAGGTATAAATGATAACATGCAGAACAACTAGGTTGCACCTAGTAGTAACAAAATATATAGATTAAAGATTTTTTTACTATTAACTGCGATGCGGTTAGTAAATATTTGGACCATCAGAAAATGAACAAACCGCATATGAGGTATATGTAGGGGAATAATAATATGTGAGAAAACTGCGGAACAACTGTGATTCTAATAATAGTAAAAACATATAAATATATAGGTAAAAGTAGAATTTTTTGTTAATATTCACAACAATGTAGTGCGGTTGGTCACTATTCAAAGCCATAATCAACGTCAATTTGGAAAATCGATTTTTGTTAGTTATTAACAAAGGCTGTCCCATCTTTGTCTTAATATATACAAATTAGTATAACCTAGTCTTTTTATATTAAGGTTTATGTATATGCATTACTGCATATAATTAATTAGGTCTCTAGAGGATGCCAAAAAAAAAATAGGTCACTGGATTGGAACTTTTTAAATTGATTATTAAATATGACCATTCTCTGTACTCTTAATATGTTTAGTTATTGAAATGTCAAATAGCTAAGCCATTGATAAATAATGATATAAGATATAGTTTACTAAAACCTAGTCTTTTTTTTGTTCCTCTCAACCGTAGACTATTTCAATTTTGTCAATTGTAAATTTCAATTTGAAAATAACAAATAAAATTTTTAGCTATATCTTATTTTGAGAAGTATAAAACGGTTACTTATTTCTTGTAACAAAAATAAACATGTTTGTTTTATCTTTTTCCCTTGTTTTGTCAAGGACATTTGCTTGTTTCTTTGTACCAAAAATAAAACTGTGTGCTTATATATTCTTGTAAAACATATATAAATGAAGAAGTTTGCTTATATTGTAATAGCACCTATAACAAATACAGGTATATAAATATATAGCNATCTTTTTCCCTTGTTTTGTCAAGGACATTTGCTTGTTTCTTTGTACCAAAAATAAAACTGTGTGCTTATATATTCTTGTAAAACATATATAAATGAAGAAGTTTGCTTATATTGTAATAGCACCTATAACAAATACAGGTATATAAATATATAGCTGTACATATATATATATATATATATATATATATATATATATATATATATATATATATATATATATATATATATATTAACTGACAATAGAAAATGTGTCATATCTTACTTCAACATATTAAAAACAAAAAGTATGTATATCAAGAGATATTTTTATAAAAATAAATTTTAATGAAAGAAAGATTTATATAATGTACAATATATACATGTAAAATATTAGTAGAAATAGTTTACTTATGTTTTTAGCTATTTTCGTTAGAGGGCCGAAAAGACATTGTACTTGATGCAAAATACTTTACACAATGAAAGTGTTGGAATGTGTAAGGACGTAGACTCTACGTGTGTAAGAACCATCTTTTATTTTCTTTCTGTTCATAACCTAAAAATTATAACTATTATCCAAGCCATCAAAGCGAAATACAATATAACAAAACATGAATACTATACGAGATTAATTTTAATAAATGTTTTATAAATCAGTTGTTTTTGGCTAAAACTTTCATTAACTTATATATTAAAGTGTATAAGCATTCGGGGGGGGGAGTGATTTCAATTTTTCCACAAATGTAATACTATATTTTTCAAATGTACTCTTAGAATAATTATTTTCATAATTACTTTACAGTTGTGATGAAAAAGGATTAAACTAAACTTCTTAAATGTTTAAAAAAAATTTGCAAAATATTATAAAGTTACTAAACTCAATCTAATCCCTAAATAATAAATCCGAAACAATAATCATGAAATTCTGAAATCTAATATTAAAAATATTTTGATTGAATTTCTTTCTGAAAAGTGGTAACTAACTTATAGTATTTCAAGCATGCAATTTCTCAGACATTTTTGTGTACCCCTCAAAGTGATTAATTACTTGTGTTGGTGTGTTTCCTGTAACTCTTTGATCATCTAATAAAATAGTTAGATGATTAATATTACTTAGTACCATACATATTATTTCTATTATTCCTTGAACTATATACAAATAAAAAAACTTAGAAGACTTATATAAAGGTAATAGCACAACCGTTTTTTTATTTATTTAAATGTTTTATTACGGAAGCTGATGTGTTTTAGTCCATTCAAATT